TTTTATGTATACCCTCACCCACTGTCACACCCCAGGGGTTATTTCAAAGCCAATCCCAGAACAAAAACCCTTTTACCCATAAATATTTGTTCAGTAACATTAGGATTCTTAAAAAAAATAAATAAATAATCACAATACCATTATTACATTAAAAAGCAACATTAATTTCTGATTATGTGATCACTTCTTTAAGATCAAGTCTTCATGCTTTGGGATACTGTTTTGATAAAAGGAAGCTTAAGAACTGTGAACTGTAACTGTTAAGAGAATAAAAGGAAAGGACTGCAGAAGAGTGAAACATAAAAAAATTGCTACATTCTTCATTTTATTGCTGTAAAATAGATATGTCTGAATAATTAAGGGCATATATGCAAAACCAACAGCCAACATTACACCCAATGGAGAAAGGCTGAGAATCTTCCAGTTGAGAATGAGAATGAGACAAAGATGTCCTTTATCAGCACTCTTAACATTGTACTGAAAGTCCTAGCCAAAGCAATAAGATAAGAGAAAAATAAAGGTATCTGATTTGCAAAGGAAGAAGTAAAACTATGCCTATTTGCAGATGACATGATCCTATACACAGAAGACCATATTGTTATATCAGTAGTTATAGGTGTGTGCATAGATAAGAACAGATAGAAGTATCTATAAACCAAAAGCAAACCAAACTCACTGCTATCGAGTTGACTGTGATTCATGGTGTCCCCTTCTTGGGTTTCTGAGGCAGTATCTGTACTGAAGTAGATTGCCTGATCTTCCTTCCAAGAAGCACTGGTGGGTTTGAACCACCTGCCTCCTGGTTAGCAATCAAATGCTTTAGGCACTATGCTACCAGAGCTCCCAGTATTATCTATGGGTATGTGTAAATACAAATATGTGGGTGCAGGCATATATAGTCCTTGAAATCACAAATATTACCAAACACCTTCTAACACTGGTTTTCTGTGTATGAAAGCTTAGGACCATAGTCTCATGGGAAAACTAAGTCAATTGCATAACACAGTTCAAAAAAAACCATGACCTGCATCTTAGTGATGTGAGTATCATGTGGGGTCTTAAAAGCTTGTTACTGGACAACTAAGACACAGTATGGGTCTCTCCTCACCAGGAGCAAAATAATAAGGTAACCAAAAGCTCAAAGAAGAAACAAGTCTATACGAGCCACAACCTCATGTCCCCTGAGACCAAAAGAACTAGATGGTGCCCAGCTACCACCACTAACCATTCTGACTGGGGTCATAATACATGCCTTGGATATAATGTGAGAAAAATGAGGAGCAAAACTCAAATTCTTAGTTTTAAAAACAAACAAACAAAAAAAGCCAGACAATCTGGAACAGTTGAGAACAGAGAATTCCCTGGGATTATCACCCTGAAATACTCTTTAAATCTCAGAACCAAGCTTATCCCTTGAGATCACCCTTTAAAGGAAATAGAGTGGCATGCACAATATATTACCCATAAGTTTGGTGTTCTACTTCAATGAAATTTAAAAAAAAAGGAAGAAAAAATAGATTTATGTTTGAGGAAAAATTGACACTCAATAAATGACTGGGTGAAGTCAACAATAATAGGAAATGTGCATATTATACTGATTACACAGCCAACTAGTACTGTGACTATTTTAACATGGTGCCACTGTTTGTATTCCACTTCTTTTCATTTCTAGGTAGACTGTCCCTTACTCTCTTTTGCACTATCTCTCAGCCAAAATTTTGGTGGCCTGTTGGATACTCTCACCAAGACAATACCTGAAGTACAAATCAGATTAACACATATAAATAAATTCCATATGATGCCAAAATTTGCCTATTAAATGCCTTATTAATGAATAAGACTCTTACAAGGAAATAACTGAAATAATTTTATCTTAAAAAAGTGACTTGTAAACTAAATTGATGACACAAATTGGCAAACAAAAAATTACAATGAATAAGTAATAGCAGATATCTAACCTCTGAGGAGCTTTCTGACTCTTCCTGTACACCTGAATTTTGACATGATGCTTGCGAATTATGCTCTATGTTGGAACGTGTTTGATAAGTATGCTGATGCTTGCGCTGTGTCCTTCGTAAAGACCGCCCACAACTAGGCTGATAATCATTCTATAAAAGATAAAGAAAGAGATTTCATAAACTGAACATCAAGAATTCAGTGAACATACAAAAACGAACATCTGTAAGGCCAATTAAGGAATGGTGGGGTAGATGGGAATGTGAGGGATGGGGATAAATCGCAATAACAGAACCTCGAGATACAACTATACGATTAGTATTGATCGTGGTCCAATTTTGAGAACTTTGTGGCTAAATTAAAGATGGTATTGAAGGTTTAGGCTGCAAGAATTTTCTCACTCTGAATTTAGTAACACTATATTATTCACAATTATTACCGGATGAAGCAAGCTATCTATATCAAACCTATGAACATGTATTTCTTAATATAATGTAAGCTCTGGTGGTGTAGTGCCTAAGGCATTTGACTGCTTACCAGAAGGCTGGCAGTTCAAAAACACCACCCATTCCTCAGAAGGAAGATTGGGCAATCTACTTCCATAGAGATTCCACCTCAGAAACCCAAGGAGGAGTCAAATTGACTCGGTAGCAATAACTTTGTTTTTTTATAGGGTCATTATCGATGTCAATGTGTTTGAGTTATTAATGTAATAATCCTTCTTTAGTTATATAAAAACTTTTTAGAAGAACTTGTCTAAAATGTTAAAACTGACAGGCTTCACTAACCATACTTTTGTTCATTCTAGTATCATTCATAAATTCTTAAGAATTAATTTATAATCAATTTGGTCTAAACCCTCATACAGAAAAAAGGAACTTGGCCTAGGAGAAAGTTGATAAAAATGAAAATTGAAAGAATTAAATCAATTTTACATTATTTATACCAATATAAGTTAAATTACTCAAAATAATCTTACTATAATAATGTATAATTTCATTTTTGGAATGCAATGGCACACACATATACACAAACTCATGCTGTGGTTAATCCCTAATCCCATCGAGGCTTGGTCCTACCGTATGTAGGAGAAAAGAATACTGAGCAACTATGGATAACCCACTTGTGGTTTTAACAAGAGTTAGCAGTATATCCATTTAATAAGCAAGTCAAAATAAGGATTTAATTTTAAACAACTAAAATTTAAAGTGAAAATTATATTCAAACCACTATAAAATGTCATTATTAATATGCTATATGGTAAAGCTATAACCATACTATGTCATTAGAAGCAAGTAAGTTTAAAAGTCTTATACATCAATGTTAACAGCTAGTTTCTCACCTCATATGTAAATATTGCTCATTTTCAATATAAGTGTATATAGATCCAACTACCCTATCAGTCTCAGATCTTTAACAAATCAATTTAGTAAGAAAAAAGGATAAAATCTTATATCTGAGTCATTCAAACTCTCTAAGAAAATAATTTTATCAGAAAATATCTATAAGCTAACAAACGACAACAGAAATTATGAAAGCAGGAATCAAAATGATCTAAGAATTATTGGGGACATTCATATGATGATTATCTAAAATTGTATTTATTAATACTGAAAAAACATTTAAAATCCAAGGCCCACTGCCTACATTTCTTTAACAGACTCATCCTATATTCTTTAAGTTACCATACTCTTCAAGAGATATGAGGAAAAAAACTAGATTTTTACGCCCCTAGCTTGGTGAACCTGAGAGTACTAGAAAGACGCTTACCATGTACCTAATGGGATGCTGGAATCCTACTCCATGCTTAGCAGCTTCTACTGAGAATATGAGTCCAGTACTTCTCAATGTATAGACCATATTTTGCTCCCATGTGATTAGGTAGGCCAGTAAAAGGCCTAGGGCAGGGGTCGGCAAACTTTTTCTGTAAAGGGCCAGATGGTAAATATTTTCAGCTTTGTGGAATCATATGGTCTCTGTTGCAACTCAACTCTGTCTTTACAGCATTAAAGCAGCTATGTAAAATATATGAATGATTAAGTGTGGTTATGTTTCAATGCAATGTTATTAACAGAAATAGAAGACCAACCAGATTTGGCCCATGGACTATAGTTTGCCAACCTCTTGCCTAAGGTATCTGAGTATTTGTTTTATTTTCTGATTAATTATTAGGTAGTATTTTTAAAGATATACTTTCACTGTATGAAAATGGTATGTTAATATAAACATCCTATATCTACAGTGACTACACATTCTAGATTGTTTGAGACAGTTCTGATTTTGTGTAATTTTATTCTTATTAATAATAATCAGTATGAAGGAACCCTAGTGACACAGTGGTTAAGCACCTGGCTGCAAACTGAAAGGTCAATGTTTCGAAGTCATCATCTGCTCCACAGGAGAGAGATGTGGTAGTCAGCTTTCATAAAAATTTACAGCCTTGAACACCCTATGGGGAAGGTCTACTCTGTGCTACAGGGTTGCTGTGAGTTGGAACTGACTTGATGACAATGGATTTTGTTTTCAGTTTTATGCCAATTTGGTGTTCAAAAAATATATCCTCTGTATGCAGACACCAACGAAAATATTACCTTAGTATACAAATGCTCCCTTTCTAAAACACAGTATTTAAAAATATTTGCAAAGAGAGTATCCTAGAGCACTATCAACAAAACTTACCCTTTGAGTAGTATAAGATGGCTTTTTCTTCTTTTCAACTGTGTAAAGCCCAATTTCTATGTCACCTTTTGCAGTTCGACATTCTTCCTGAACCCTAAAGACAAATCAAAGGTCAATGTTAATTATCAGAAACCAACATAAAAGCAAACCAACAGTCTAAACTTTGAAGTATTTTTAAATATGGGAGTATAAATACGGAAAAAAATCCATAAATAAAAATACTTCAAAGTTTTGAGTAAAGAATTATTTCAAATTGCTCTACTGCCAGGGGTTACTATTCAGTTCAAAAACTAATTATATTCTCCTTTTTCTTATGACTGTTGCCTACCTAGGAGCTCTGGTAGCATTGTCGCTAAAGCACTTGACTGCTAACCAGGAGGCTGGCGGTTCAAACCCACCAGCCACTTCTCGGAAGGAAGGTTGGGCAATCCTACTTCCGTAGTGATACTGCCTCGGAAACCCAAGGAGGGGTCGCTATGAGTTGGGGCCGACTCGACGGCACATAACAACAACAACAGTTGCCTACCTACAGCAGAAGGCAGAGAAAAGAAAAGGTGAAACCAAATAAGTTTTGTTACTTGTTGGCTGATCTGGTAAAAGGTACGGTACGCACTGCTGTTGAGTCAGATCCAACTCATAGCAACCCCTCCTTGGCTTTCTGAGGTGGTATCACTACGGAAGTAATTTGCCCAACCTTCCAAGGAGTGGCTGGTGGGTTTGAACTTCTGGTTAGCAGTCAAATGCCTTAAACACTGTAGGGAGATGCCATTTGTTGTTGTTAGGTACCAGTGAGTAAGTTCCAACTCGTAGAGATCCTATTTACAAAAGAATGACACATTGCCATTTCCTGTACCATCCTCAAAATCAATGCTATGTTTGAGTCCACTGTTGCAGCCACTATGTCAGTCCATGTCAACTGAAGGTCTTCCTCTTTTTCGCCAATCCTCTTTACCAAGCATGATGTCCTTCTCTAAGGACTGGTTCCTCCTAATGATATGTCCAAAATACATGAGACTAAGTCTCACAATTCTTGTTTCCAAGGAACATTCTGACTATACTTCTTCCAAGACAGATCTGTTAGTTTTTCGGGCCGTCTACAGTATATTCAATATTCTTCACCAACACCATAATTCAAACGCATCAATTCTTTGGTCTTCCTTATTCATTGTTCACTTTTTGCAAGCATATGAGGAAACTGAAAATATCACAGCCTGGATGAGACACACCTTGGTCCTCAAAGTGACATCTTTGATTTTTAATACTTTAAAGACATCTTTGGCAGCAGAACTGGCCAACGCAACATGTCATTTGATTTCCCGACTGCTGCTTCCATGGGTTATTGATTGTGGATCCAAGTAAAATGAAATCCTTGATGACTTCAAAGTTTTCTTCATTTATCATAAGGTTGCTTATTAGTCTAATTGTGAGGATTCTTTTTTTTTTCTTTATGTCGAGATGTAATCCATACTTTAGGCTGTAGTCTTTGACAATCATCAGTAAGTGCTTCAAGTCTTCTTTCTTTTTATCTGTGTATCACAGATTGTTAGTGAGTCTTCCTTGAATCTTGGTGCCATGTTCTTCTTCATATAGGCTAGCTTCTGGGACTGTTTGGCATATATACTGAATAAATAAGGCAAAAGAATACAACCCTACTACATACCTTTGCAAATTTTAAACCATGTAGTGTTCCCTTGTTTTTTTTTTTTTTTATTTTAAGAGCTTGTTTTACATTCAATGTAATGTGTACATTTAGTTTCATTCCCCATTTACCATGTCCAACCCTACCCCAGTCTCCTCCCCTCCCTGCCCTGTGACCTCCCCCTGTGCCCCTCATATTTATGCACTCCTGTTTGTCTTGCATTTCCTCAATTTGAATGTTGGTCCTCTGGTGCCCTGTGGTCTATTGCTCTAAGGTATGTATTACCATTGAGTGTGTGGGTGCATCATCCTGGGTTGAGTGGTCTGTGTGTCCATCTTGTTAACTATTGGACTGAGAGCCAGCCCCTGGAGGTGCATTTTATTCCAGGTGCAGAATGTATTCCAGGGCCACAGTAATGGGGATCTCACCAGATTTCATCTGACCAGTAATTCTGGTCATTATTGAGTTTTTGGATTTTGTTCCACGTTTTCCCTTCCACTCTATCCAAGATCTCCAGATTTGATCCTTTCCTGAGTGGTTGGCATTGGTAGCCAGGCACTATCTAGTTGGTCTCGAGGGCCATCGTGTGCTATGCTGATTGCTCCCAAATGCCCTTGGTTTTTTTGTTTTGTTTTGTTTTTTCATTTTTCTTTGCTTCCAATGCTAGGAGACCATTAGCAGCATCTTAGATGGACTCTTGAAAGCTTTTAAGACCCCAGTCGCTACTCACCTATGCAGGATGTGGAGCAAGGCTTTTATGTATTTTGTTGTGCCAATTGAGTTTGGTGTCCCCCAGTACTATGGTTCTGAGATGGTAGATCTATTGGATCTCTCTCCCATAGTGTTTGGTTGTTTGTGAGGGATTAATTTGTGTCTGTCTTCTATTGTTTCTGTAAGGACTGCAGGTATTTTATATCACTGGTGTCTGTGCAAGATTAGCCTCAGCTGAATCTATCCTTGGTCTAGAGTATACTTCTGTTCACTGACCCTCGTCTGATCATCTCAGGTATTTATGTGTTTATCTGTAGCCTGGTGTTTAGTGTTAATGGCAATGCAGTATTGTGAACACACTGGTTGGTATTAGCATCTGTCATCTCTTATGTGCACAATTTGGTGTTCTGTTTGAATGACTACTTCTATATTTACGCACAGGTTCCATATGGGCAAAATAGTATTCTGTAATTTCCATTCTTCCCAATGTTATCCATGATTTGTTATGATCCACACAGTCAAATGCCTTTGTGTAGTCAATAAAACACAGGTAAATGTACTGTTGTTATTGCTTACTTCTGACCAAGAGCCATTTGAAATCACCAATGATATCTCTCATTTTATATCCTCTTCTAAATCTGGCCTGAATTTCTTGCAGTCCTTTGCTGATGTATAGCTGCAGCCTTTTTAGAATCATCTTCACAAATCATAGGTAATCACTGAATAGTTGTTAGAGAATGAACTAATAGGAATAACGTAAAGATTCAAATGTATCGAGACAGTGGCTGCAACAATGGGCTCAAGCATAGCTACAATTATGAGGATGGGGCAGGACCCGGCAGTACTTCACTCTGTTGTACATGGGGTCACTATGAGTTAGAAGCAACTCAGTGGCACCTAACAACTAACATATGACTCATCTTGATTAGAAAATATCTCAGTCACTAGGATAACATAGTACATATTTATTTACTTACTAAAAATCAAAGCCTTACATTTTATTAGGAATATTACCTGATTAACTCACCTACTAACTCCGTTATTTAGTTCATTAACCACCACTCTTCTGCTCCATGCCATGAGATCTCTTTCAGTTGCCATCTGGCTCCGAGGGGCATTGTTATGCATTTGTCTCACACCTTCAATTTGCCCACTACGTCGAAGTCCAATATTTGGGGAAGAATGTATGTCCATATTTGGACTTCTCAGAGCTAAATCAAACAGGGAATGGTAAGTTCTAAGTAAAACAGAAGATTCAAAGATCATACAGCTAGACAGTATTGCTATTCCTTTGTCCTACGTTTTTTATACCCGCTTTAATTTTTTTCTCATAACACTTTCACATCTATCACCTACTAAAGGCTCACTGAATTTTTTTATCAGAATATATTGATTAAAAAAAAATTTACTGTGATTTGGGTGAAAGTTTACAGAGCAAATTCATTTTCCATACAGCTGTTCACATAAACTTTGTCTCATGACATTGACTGCAATTTCCCACA